TTCGTCAGATGAAGTGATATGACCACACCCAACTATAAAAGAGAGTTGGAAATAAATGATCAGCTACACTAGTGACCACTCCCCCCCCCTTTTAAAATGGGTAATGGTGTTGGCTCTTGACATCTATGCTAATGATGATAGATATTACCAGTGCCTGAGAAATAAGAGGGATTCAACTCCTGTTTTGGTACATTTTTAATGCATCTGTTCATAGAGGTCTTTAGGAAAGTTTGACAGGCATCGATGGCGTATTCTACGCTGTGTCACTTGCTTTCCAGGACAAGCTTGGAGATAGAAAGTGTTGCAATTTCTCAGGTGTGCTTGTGAAGTTCAGAATGTCCAAGTGCTTTCCCCTTCACAGAACCCACCAGTAGCATGTTTCAGGATTAAAACCTACATCATCTAACTCCAAGCACAGCGGTGTTCTTTTTGCTACACCTCAACTCTAAGGTCAATGATGAACCATGAAATGTTTTAAATTCCTATAATTACAGAAGCAGGAATTATTAGTCACCACTGTGTCCTTCCTCGTACTGTAAGGCGCAAACATCAAACATACCTAGTGATTTTTAGAATGGCAATGAAGTGTGGTGTTCTTCCCACCAAGGGAAAATTGTCTTATTCTTCTGAGTACATTTGATAAGGCAGTTATCATTTTTTTTTTTAAGTCAGTGAATCTTAAATGTCTTTTCTATTGGTTTTCAATGGGTGTCAAAACAAATTACCATGCACGTAGTATCTTAACACCACCCAAACATATTACATTCAAGTTTTATAGATCAGAAGTCCAGTACGAGTCTCTAGAGACTAAAATAAGTTTGTCAGGATCTGTTCTTTTCTGGGGGTAAGGGGAGGCGGGAGTTTGGGGAGAATTCATATTCAGCTCGTTCAGATTGTTGGCAGAATTCAGATCCTGGAGTCTACAGAACTGAGGCCCATTTCTTTACTCCCTTTCATGGAGGTCCCTCCCAGTTTCTAGACCACTGCATTCCTTAGCTGAGGCCTCAGCTTGCCATCCTCAAGTGCAACAGGTGGAATCCTTTTCATGTCCATTTTCTTTGATCTACTGCTGCCTTTTTCTTCTACTTAAGAAATCTCCTGTGTTTTCATTGACTCTATCTATATAATCCAGGGTTGTCTGGACATTTCATGGTCCTAAATCTTAATCATATCTTTAAAATCCCTTTTACCAAGTAAGGTAACCTATACTCCGGTTCCAGATGACTACAGCATGGACATCTTCGGGGCCCAGATTTCTGCCTACCACACCTTTCACATCTGCTCTCTTTTCTCATCATGTTGTAGCAACTGTAATCTCTGTAGGAGACTAGAGAAAGATCTTGGCCTCCATTTCTTCATTTGTGAAATCCTTGAATGTAAAGTTGCTTCCACTCTTAACTCGTGTATAAATCCTTATGATAGAGAGAGGCATTGGAAAGTAAGCCTAATGATCAATGTGAATATTACTGTTATTTTCTATCATGGACTTTGCTGGAGTGTGGATTTCATATAATCCTGACTAACTCCTTCCCTCTCACACTTGGTAATCTTCTTTGAAGGCAGTCAATCTTTATAAAAGTTGACTTCTTTAGGAAGAAATTGACTTACCTGCTCAAAACTGTAATAACTGGTCCCTTGGGATTTTTTTTTTTTTATCTACTTATTTACTCTACAGTTTGGATATAGCTTTCAGCAAATCTTTGGTACATTTTTGCTTTTGCTTTATTGATTTGAAGAAAAAGAAATTGTTTCCTCTTTAATTTAGTTTCTTAGTAAGTCAGATTGTACCTGTACCCAAGCATAATAAATACTTCCAAAGTTTTAAAAGGTATTATGCGTAATTTACCATTAAGGAAAGATATTAATTAATGATTTTTCTAATGTGCCACAACATTGGCTGCTTTACATATTAATTTGCCCATGTACAAAGTGGAGAAAATATTAATGCCTAACTCCTGGAGTTAAAAAAATAAAATAAAAAAACAAAAATTCTAGGAAAGTACTTAATACCCAACATTTAGTAAATAATAGATATAAATAGCTAGTATTTTGATAGTAGTAATAGTAGGAGTGGATGTGAAGAATGCATCCCAGTATGCTCAAGACTTTCTAGTTTTAACACTGAAAATCCAACATATTGGGAAATGCTTCAATCCCAGGAAAAGTCAGATAGTTGGTCACCCTAGGACTAGTAGTTTGGAAACAAGAGATAAATATAAATAAGGGCCCTGCTTTCTACAAGCTATTTTACCTAAAAGAAATTATTAAGTTTTTGAGTTGCTGTTTCTTTATCTGAAAATATATATGAAATAATAGAACCCTTATTTTTTCCTGCTCAAACCATCTTTACTGGCTTTATTCTGCTTAGATATTTCAGCACAAAAGGTTTTGCTTAATATGAAGAGGACCTTCAAGATCTGTTTCTAACCTGCCCTTTCATACGCTATATTCCTTCCTCCTACTCATGATGATAATAACAATATTGATGATGATGATGATGACAGCTAATGTTTATCTAATTCTTTCTACATAGCAAGAACAGCTCTGAAGACTTTATAAGAACTTAAACAAAGGAGTCCAGAGCTACTCACTATTTCTAGTACACATGACTTTCATATATTCTATTCAGACTATTGCCATGCTATTACCAGAAATTGTAAATTCCTCCTGTATATCCTTTAAGATCCTGCCTGAATATCACCTTTTCTGTGAAATCCTCCAAGAATCCACAGGACAGGAATTTATCTCTCGCCCTTCACTGACCTGCAAACAATTTACTCATGATGTTAACACTCCTTACTGTGCTATGTTTTTCATTATATCAAACTTTTTTTTTAATCTATCTGTATCCTTCACCAAAAAAATGCCTGTTCATATTTCTAGCATCACGCATAGGACTCTGTTTGTTGGTTTGTTTGTGAAATGAATGGAAGAACAATTGATTTACTTTACACTTAAAGATTCCCTAAAGAGTTTAAGTGATCAATATCTATTTTTATAATATCTATCAAAAACTGTAACAGCTCATTTACTGTGCAGAAACCCATATGGCTTTAAGAACTATGGAATATAAAGATTAAATAATTAAAATGAAATAACAATAGAATACAGTGGAAATGGTATCTATTGTTGCAATCAATTCTTTAAAGTCAGAAGAAGCAGATGTTACAAATAAGAGGACTAAATCCATCACAGACAGGTTTATCTGAATGGTGGACTTGCTCTGCTAACTGCTGGGAGAACTGCTGACCCTGATCTGTGGACTTAACTGTTTCTCTGGAGTAAAAGGAGCTAAAATCTGCATAATTAAGACCTACTGTTTAATTGGATATGGGTCACTATCATTTCAGATTGAAGAAGCTTGCTTGTGCTCACATTCTAGTTTGAAAATGGAAATAAATATTGTAGAAATGGTCACTCAGACGGGTAACCCTAGAGACAACTTGATAATATTTTTGCCTAGATTGTTAAAAATTACAGCATGATATAAAATTACTTCTTGCCTCCAGTGCTTGCAGATACTTGATTTTTTAATGGTTATACTAGCTAAATATTAAGATATGTGGTTGAAAAAAATTAAGACTTTAAAATGAATCAAAGTATGAGTAGGAAAAAATCAGTATTGCCACTTTTTCTTGCAATTGATCTGGTGTACACCTCTTCTGTTTTAATATTTTCAGACTTATTTTTAAATGTGCCCATCATGTTCATATCTTCATTCAATTGTTATTCTGTGGTAGTTTTATCTCTCATCATACAATTGAAACTTCGAGAAATGGGTTAGCCTTCTTTTTAACATGCATCGTTTTTAATATGGCTCCACAGTTAACAATGGGCCCATGTCTCGTGCATTATCATTGTTGTCATTCAGCGGGTGAAAAGGCTTTCCCAGATTCCTCAGAGATTTGAAATGGCCAGATTACATGGAACTCCTCAAGTGAACACTTGTTAACGCCAATTTGGGAAATTGGTGATAGCACAAAACATGTGGGAAAGTCCCAGGCTGGGCTGAGGTCCCTTTGGCAGGATCGTATCTGGGTGGAAATGCAATTCAGAAATTACCTTGAGACCCTTGTATTGTGCTCTGTGTTGTGGTTTTATGATATTTGATATACAGAACATGGGCTGCTGAATGATAAAAAGTCTGAATGCCAGTTCACTGTGACTCATCAGAAACAAGAGTCTTGCTAAGCTTACTTATTTCCTCCCAGTTTATTTCCTACCATGTCCATGATTCAGCATCGTTAAAGAAATAACCTAAAATGCTGAAGCTTTTGAGCCTCGTATTTAAAATGTCCACTGAAATCATTTTCTCTCCCTGCTCCTAAGCCTCTCAGAGGATATCATGCTTTACATGCTCTGCGTTTGATTTTATTCACAATTCTCCTTTTATACTCTTTCTGAAGACAGTGTACGGTTGATCGTTAGCATTATTATTGTTATTATTATTATTATTATTTCAGCTACAGTCTAACTACATATCCACACTTAGCCAAGGGGTTGGATTGATTTCATTATGCATTCAGAATAAATTCCTCCTCTGATATAAATGTTGCTCAGGATACGAGCTTTGAAATGGATCCCAATTCTTTACTTTCTTCCCTGTCTGTTTCAGGAAATAGTGAGATCCTGTTGATAGTAAAGGACAATGTGTCTAAAGTTCACTTCCAAACACCCTGCTCTTTGCCTTGAACGTCGTCTGCATTCTCTTTATAATTCAGAGTCACGAGAGATCTGACTAATCTTGGCGATCTGATCCAGTATCATTGAGGGGGGGAGGGGAAGATCCTTAATAATAATTCTACCATTTCAGATTAGTGCAAGCTGGAAAGTTTTACAGCTTCTGTCATCTTAAAAGGATATCAAGGGGCAGGGGAATGAGGCCTCGGATTATGGTTCTGGAGATTTAGTTGTTTGTAAAGAATAAAATGATCCGTTATTATTCAAGGTTTTAATCAATGAAAGCAAACGGCATCTGTGTGTTGTCCTTCTCTCTGCAGAAGACAAAGGCGCAGGCCCCCATGGTGCTGACTGCTGGTCCCAAGTGGCTGCTGGATGTGACTTGGCAAGGGGTGGAGGACAACAAAAACAACTGCATTGTGTACAGCAAAGGTAAAGGCAAGAACCCTCTGCTCCTCCTTTGCAAGTATTGGAACCTGGGGATTGCACAATAGCTCCAAATGAGCTGGGATGGGAGGACGAAGTCAAAGTTGGTTTTCTCTTCCTTTGTCTCTTAGGATCTCTCTTACCTGTGTTTGCAGCAAAATCTAGTGCTTTTTTACAATGTAAAATCACAGTATGATGCCCTGAATTATTTAGCGCCATATGCATGTTCCTAAACTCTGTTCATATTTGAGTGCCCCTTCCTTGTTCTCTACGTTTTTAGGGAGGGCTGGTTTGAGGAAATCCCAGGTTTCTCTCAAAGACATCGATCAATAAGCAAATTCCTGGTGAGAGTTAGCCCTTCCTGTCAAGGTGTGTGCTCCTGGAGGCACTGCATTCCAGCCAGGTCCTTGAAATCACTCATGATAAGGGACAGGGAGCAGCTTAAAAGGAACCCATAGCAAAGATGGAATTCTTCCCAGTAGTGATTTCTGAAGGGCAGGAGGTGAGCAGGAAAGAGGACGTGATGGCTTGCAGAGCTTTGCCTTTGATTTGCTCAGTGAGACATCAGCCTAGCCTGTGTCATTCAGCTACGCCCTGGCTACAGAGGAGCTGAGCCGCAGCTCACAGCTCCGTGGTGACATATTGTGAGGCTGGCTCCCCAAAACACAGCCCCCCTCCTGTGTGTGGTGTGGTTTGGGGCCCTTTGCTCCACATTCAAGTTATGGACCCGCGCTCTGTACTTTTTCCAGTGAAATCCCTAATCGCTGTACTTTGTAAATATTGCAGAACCTTGTGCTTCTCATGTTTAATTTCTCTTAGCTTTCGTTTTTAACCAAACAGACCTACTGAGATCAAAGATGTATTTGCACATTGAACCCAGACGCCATGAAAGCATATAAGGGACCAAGCAAATAAGCGCCCCTATCAATGCATTAACATAGAAAACACTAATCATAACATCAAAGGCTCTTAAAAACTTGCTAGAAACAATTACAACTTGTTCCTATAATCATTATAATTTGTACACTTATAAGAGGATTGCCATTACACTGCCGTAGCCTTTGAAAGTGGAAACACCGGAAAAAGGGAATTTGCAAGCTAAGAAAACAATCTGCACAGCAGGATCTGATTATATCCCTTTTCCTTCTATGATTGCTGGTCCCATACCCACTAGTTTCTAACCCTAAATACCTGTGCTGTGCTGGCGGGGGAGCTTTTAGCTGGAAGAGAAGGTAGATTTAGCCCAGGATAAGTCAATATGGTCTGTCAACATGGGAAGATATGGTCCTATGGGACTCTGCCTTTACACGTGCAACTGGTACATGATGAGAAGATCATCTCCAACCACGCAGACCTTTATGTCCAGAGATCATGGCGTATGTATTAATGTGGAACTTCCCAAAGGGTGTGTATGTGTTTTCTTTCCAGTGAAATTCCACAGGGATTAGTGCTCTGGGCAACACACTTGGGAAAACTTGGCTGGAGACCCTACTCTCCTCAATGGGCTTCAGAGGCCTGGTGTTAATTTGGGGAATTCAGATGTTCATTGGAGGGAGGGGATAGCTCCCCCATAGTAGGTCTTCACGTTCTAGAAATACCTCAATATTTTGGCACTGGAATAGGTTTCATTCGAGTCATGGAAAATGTGACCTCTGGAAGCACACTTACCAGGACCACATGGGCTCTGAGGCCTTTTGTTGTTACAGCCAGCAGGAATGGCAGAACCGCTCAAAGAAAATGAGTTTTGCAGGTTGAAGGATTTAGCAATTTAGATTTAACAATATGGACTTGAAAATCTCCAATGTGGGAGGCATTGTCATAGTGTGTGTGTTATTTTGGGATGCTCTTGTTTTCAGGTGATAGAAATCCAAATGAAGTTCACTTGGTGTGTGCGAGCTTGTGTGTGTGTGTGTGTGTGTGTGTGTGTGTGTGGCATTCATCTGGTCGTGGCCCTGAAAGTCCAGGGCAGTTCTGGGCTTCAGGAACATCTTAATCCAGTTGTTCACACCTTGTCCCCAGATTGTCTCTGTCTTCAGCTTCCTCTTTCTTTTGTGGGCTTCATTCTCAGAAGTAGTCTCCTCTGGTGGTGGGAAGCTCCATACTTATCCTACCAACTCAACAATTCCAGTGAAAAGAGAGCTTTTCCAGATGTTTATTGGGATATGTCACATACCAATCCCTAAACGAGTTAATCACTATGACTCTCCCTGACCCTCCCTCACCGACTACAATCATTCTTAGGGCCAAAGAGTAGAATTATCCCACAGGAGCCACTAAGAAGGAGGGTAAAGGGTAGATAGTTTCCCCAAAGTATTATTGCCCCCCCCCCCCACACACACACAATTGTTTGTGCGCTAACATCCATGCACCCAGATTTCCTTATTTTGTTTTCTAGCTGAGAACCTATATGACTTAGGCATTCTATGCCAAAATCATTGTTATATGAGATGGACAACTGAGAGTATGTTAGCACCTGTTTACAAGTGGGAGGTAACATGCATAGGTATAGTGTTTTTAAAAATTGCCCTGACTGTGAAATTTTTTATAGTTTTATGTTGTATCCATAGGCCACTTAATATGTAACTGTTGCCACTTAAGAGACACACTTCTTGAAGTACCATTAAAATGTGGGCTAGTAATGAAATTAAGTATAATTATAAAATTTTCATTGTTCATCAAATAATTATTATAAAATGTATTATCGCGCTTAGTGCTGCTTAACTGCCTGCCATCATCGTTTCATCAATGTCAGAAAAGAACAGTATTTGGCATTAATGGTATAATCTCATGTACTTTTTTCCTGCCTCAACTACCCCCTGTCATTCCAGAAAGTAATTAGGTCATCCAGACATTGATGGACCAGACTTGTTGGGTGGTCTGTTTTTTGCCATTATTTTCAACAGACTCCAGATAATTCCAATTTACTTATCTGCAGTGAAAAAAAGACTAAAAAGCACTATGCTGAAGTGAAAGTGAGGTTGCTAGGGGGTAGGATGAGCAAGGTCTGCCCACTTACTACTAAAATCTAATGCCTGGTCAACATTGGAGCTTGTCTTCTCTTTTATTTTTTTTATTTTTCAATTATAGTTTTCACTGGATATTATTTTGTATTAGTTTCAGTTGTACATCATGGTGTCTTCTTTGCTCTGTAACATTCTGTTCTTTAGAGTGGTTGCACAGGATTGGTAGCCCTTTTATATGTGAAAAGAAAATGGCTTAATTTTGTGTTTTGTGTTTCTGAGTATTTCCTAGTAAAATTAAGCCTTTAACCTGGGGAGGGGGGGTGTTGTTCATACAGCTCACTTCAAATGAGTTGTCATTTCAGAGTAGCCACATTCTCTAGGTATCCAGATTAAGTGAATAGACATTGTCAGTAAAAAAAAAAAAAAAAAAAAAAAAAAAAAGAGTAGAAACTCTCACTCTCACCTCATGCTAACTCTCACTCTCACCTCAACCACAGAAGAATTCTGGCTGTGGCCAGGTAGCTCAATCATCCTACCCAAATGCCAAGGTTGCAGGTTCCCTTGCTGGTTACAGCACATAATATAAGCAACCAATGAATGCATAAATAAGTGGGAAAACAAATTAGTATTTCTTTTTTTTATTCCCTTCCTCTCTCTCCCCCCCACCCCCCTCTCAAATAAAACAGTCAGGAAAAAAGGATTCTTGTGTGAAAGAATTTCATTGTGAAACAATAGTTGCTCATATGTAACTTTGGGTAAGTCATTTTTCCCTCTCTAAATCTTGATTTTCTCAGCTGTAAAAATGGAATAGTAGTGGCCATCTCACAGAATTTTGGGAGATACACCCACACACTAACTGTATATTTTATTATAAATATATTTGCCCTGTAGTCATAAATCAGTACAAATTGGAAGAAATGAAGCCAGGCCTCTATGTTGGTATCAAGCAAGTATGCAAGGAAACATCATCGTCTGATACAAGATTTATACCCAATAATTCCATAAATCCCCTTCAGTCACTGTGAACCCAGGACACCTGCAGAGAATCATATTACAGAATCAGAGAACTGAAGCCTTTGCCAGAGATATTATTGGATTTTTTTTTTTGGGGGGGGTACATGATATTTCTATTTTTAACGAAAGTCATAAAAATGCTAATATAGTTATGATAATACAATAATACTAGTAATAGCAGTTACCATTTAATAAGCCATTTAATAAGCACTTATTCTATGCCAGGTATTATTTCAAACACTGTACATACATTTTATTATTTACTATTACAAGCTCATGATGTAAGAACCGTATTCTCACTGTGTGGATGAGTAAACCAAGGTCCTAATAAGTTAAGTAAATAGTTAAAGGATTATAGGTCATACACAATGAAATTGGGATTTAGTCTTAACTATGTCACCCTAAGTTACCAAATATATAATTAGCAGAGTTTTGAAGATGTGGTTGTAGGTTATTGCTCTTCTTCCTAAATTGCATACTGCATGTTTATCAGCCAGACTTTCTTTTCCTCATTTTATGGTTTGGCTTTAAAGAGAAAGTGTTCAAGAAGTAAAACAGCAGTGACAGCAGTACTTTTTCTAATTTCTCTGTTGCTTTGAAGACCACGGCAATTTAAAGTCATACAGAAGACTAATCTCAAAATCATTGTAGGATCATCTTCAAGGTTCTGATTTTTGTTGTTTGCACAAATGTAACCATGCAGTTAATTCAGTTAAACTTATATGGATTGTTTACTGGGTTCCATTCTTATATGAGGCACACTGTTGAATTAGTGACAAATTCTAATATGGCCTATCTTGGGGGAGCAACTTTCTGCACACTGACTAAATTGATCAATTTTTCAAAACAAAGATCTTTCCTTTTAAGGATTCTTGCAAAAGCCTGGACTATTTTCCATGTTAAAATAGAGGATCTGTTACACGTTCCTAGAACTTTGAAACAATAGCCTGGTCTAAAGTGGCAGCCAATTTTTAAGCTAGCCTTCAAGCAACTTTACTGAAAGGACCTAATATCATAGGAATAAGAAAT